AAAAATTTTCAAAAAACGAAATTTTACAATAACAGTCTTTAGCACTGCAATTTAAATACCTAGTTAGTACGTTATTCTCATGAAAATTGCCTCTTCATAACTACATAGAATTACTACCCGTATCATATATTGGTTTTTCCTCCACAAAAAGAGAGTGAGAGAGAGTAGAAAAGTGCTGCTGCACTTTTCTACTCTCTCTCACTCTCTTTTTCTTTCACATCCCCGTCTTGCAAAATAGTTACATGTCCTTTCAATACATGGCGGTTGGGAGGCTGTACTGACGATTCCCACTCATACCCGCATGCATAGTCCGGTCTGTGTTTACAGCTAAGGGATAAAACACAGGCTGCATCGTAAAATGTCTTTTTGTACATGACATTTTAGTTCAATCCTCCTTCTCTACTATGACTACATTATTAATGCAAAAATATTTCAAAATAAAGCAAGAAAAGAGCAAAATAACACACTGCTTGCCTTCACCAATACAGGGCCCGTAGGTTCCGGCAAACTGGAATGCAATTGCTGAGCATATTTTGATAGTGATAAGCCATCAATATCACGGCCCATTATCAGGCCCATATCGCAAGCATGTAGAGCTTCCTGCAAAAACGCAGAATTTCGTGTTTTTTTCCATAATTTCAAGAAAATTACTAAACCCCCTCCCCCCATGAATACTATTCTAAAACAATTCACATGATGAGTGGACGTTTCATGAAGCCAGCAACATTTGAACTACTAAATGCAGCGATCTATTAGACTGTATCAACCAATAAGTTAATAATTTACTTTTGTTTATTTCTGAGCGAAATTGACTTCCCTTTTGCCTTCTGATGGGATTATCAACTCATCGGTTCCCTCAACGGAAGAAAATACAGAATTTTAGCTGTTTCGAGGTGCTCTTGGTGTATTTTAAGCATCATCATCGGATGCCACGAACGATACCATTTCTAGATCTCGCCGAACAGAAGAAATGATACTGACCACGAAAAAAATGGAAACGCAATTTTCTTTATTTAAAAATAATGGAATTTATCTGAATAAAAAAAATGACAAAATTTTTTTTCCTTTGTATTCTATCGCGCCTTCGCCACTTTTTTTTTCACAGTCAACCTGGATGCTACAATCAGCTTAGTATAAAAAAATTCCTTACTTTTAGAGACCCTTATCCTATTAAGATCTGAAAAAACCACTCTTTCCGTGATGGTTTTTTAATGAGTTAGAGTAAGTAGGTCACCAGTGAGCCAAAGCGCACCATATTCAGTCAAATACAATACATCCAACATTTCCTTATGGAGAAACGAAGGTAAAAAAGTAGGAAAAATAAAAAAATTAATGCCACGATCTTCAGTGGGGAGCTAAGCAACAGATTTTTACACAGGATCTATGAAATTTTTTTCAATCTGAGCACAAAATCTATGGAATTTTTTCCAATCTGAGCACAAAATCTATGGAAATTTTTCCAGTCTGAGCACAAAATCTATGGAATTTTTTGCAATTTCTGTATCAGCAAGCCATTGTTGCTGCCAATCCAGGAAATCAATCGGGAATTTACGAACCTTTATGTGATTTTCTTCTTTTAAACGCACAGCTTTGCATGCTGAAACAGCGGCATAGAGTATTCTCCACGCTTCGTCAACTTGCGAGTAGTGACCCGTATTCAGCTTTTCCCAGGCCAATGCAAGAAGAAATTCCTCCAGTTCCTTGCTTCGTGCAAAATTACACATCAGAGTTGCTACGGCGCATTCTCTGAATGTCCGTACAAGTGATCGACCAATGATTCTCTCATCCAGTAAGTGCTGTAGATGTAGCAATCGAAGTATTCTGTCCTCCTGGAAGATGTCCCTTATATAGGCATTATTGTTAATCAATCGTTTTCTCCAGACTTTATCATGCATTTCCTCATAATTACATAATAATTAGATCGTCCGTATCAGGGGTTAGCTCCCCTTCTTTCTCTCCTTTTTCAGTCTATTTGCTCTTTCACTGATTTCTCTTTCCTTCGCATATCCGTCTTGCAAATTAGTTACATGACTGTTCAGAACATGGCGGGTAGAAGGCTGTACTGACGACTCCCGATCCTATGCGCATGCATAGTTCGGTCAATGTTTACAGCTAAGGGATGAAACACAGACTGCATTGTAAAATGTCCTCATACACATGACACTTAAGTTCAATCCCTCTATTCTATTATTTTATCATATTTCCATTCTGGGCTGCCAATCTTCCTCGTATTTCGCTCTACATTTTTAAACTATACTCAACAAAGAACACTTCCCGCAATCTTGTAAAACTCCATTCATTCTAAAAATCACTAAAAGATTAGTTTTTCAAAGATGAATTCGAACAAGATTGCTTGATTTTTAAAAGCT